TGGCGGTTTGCTTCCTGACGCCTAGTTACAGTAATCAGTTGGTATGTGTCGGTTTCCTGTAAACTATTGTCCGTAATGAATTGTCGTCACGGCTTACCAGGCAGTCTAGAAAAGGTAGTTTACCATTTTCTTCGACCTCTCTCTGTCCATGTATTATTTTGTTTATCATATCAACACAATAGCCCTTTACTGACAAGAAACGTCGACTTGACTAATGAATGAAAATAAAAGGATCGACAATCCCCAAATGAAAATCGTTAAGTGCGTTGTCGCTGAGCCTCAAGTTTAGAAACTTACCTTTAATTGAATAGTAACTTTAAAAATGATTCAATTTCGTAGTTTTTTTACGCAATTTATGGCTGCTCGAACCACATGGCACGCCGAAGGAATAGCTCAGGCTAGGAGTTTCACCCCAGCACGAAAACACTCCGCCTTTCCAGAAGGAGGTACTGCTAACTTTTGAGAAACATTTCTTGGTGTAAGGTAAGGTTCCATCTTGTAAAAATGTAAAAAGCTGGAACAACAGGAGAGAGCTAACAAAAACACGTCCTACTCTCATGACGACCGCTGCCCGCTGTGCGGTACTGGAAGTGGTACTGGATATGGAGATTGCTTTGAACAACCGCCCTTTATATTACGTCGAAGACGACATACACTGAGTTATCAGTGCTTACCGCTAACTCACTTCCATTTCTTCGATCAAACCAGCTACCAGAACTGGAACCACACCATCTAAGAGAATTTGATCTGCGCTGAAGAGCTAAATATCTGTGCAGGTGAAAGCAGACTTTGTGGACCGAGAGAACGACACCGGATGAAACACATGAATCAAACTACGCCCTTGGCCAAAGGAGAGGTGATCATCATCATGGACGAGGAACGAAATCGCAACAAATGGAAAATTTGAATCGTGGAAGACCTGATTTCGGGGCGAGACGAGCTGCTAAACTTCGAGCGGGGAAAGGAACACTCGAACCGGCGGTAAAACACCTTTACCAACTGGAGCTGTCATGCGATCGGGAGAATGTTCAGGCTCCTCCGCAACTCAACCCCGAAGCCCCAACATTTAGGCCCAGGAGGAGAAGTAACACCGAACTGACATACTGAACTAACTTTCTGTTTTGTTCATTGAATTTCAAATTTTATCGACTGTGCTATTCTAGTTTCGCGTTATGGAAAAAACGTATCCAATGAAGTGAGGACGGTTTTGACTGCTAAAAATTAACATGAGTTGCCCATGCGGAAGATTGTGATTCTGTTGGAATTTTAACATAATGCGAAGACCCTGGGGTGACTTATTTGAGATGCCTTGGCCATGAGATATGCAGAATCAACGGGTTAAATACATCGAAAGTGTGCACGATTCTTTCATAATGATTAACAAATACGTTAATTATTAAGATATTTTAGATTTAGGCTGGGAATGAAATAAAGAAACCTGCCTTTTTACAAGTCTTCTATTATTTTGAGAAAAAAATGCGTTAGAGTGGCTAGGTTGATCAAAGATCACAGATTCTCGTTTTCCTTGGAGCTCATTGTAAAAATAAACATCCAATGTCACTGCCTCGATCATGTCTGACCCAATGAATCAAAATAAAATGATAGCAAACACCCAGTCAACAATATCATATAACATTTATTCTGTTGACCATGGTTAGGATTAGTTTTCAGACTACGCTCAAGCCAAACAACCAATCTGAAAGGTTTATTTAAGACAATTTGGCGCACGCAAGGAGTATCCTAACTCATGAATTGCGTGCTGAAATGTGCAACGCTCCGTACGAAAAATCATGTAACTTACGAATCGAGCGTTTCCCCATATTTTGCCTTTGCTCCAAAATATGAGGAAACGTTTGAACTCGTCACGTATCGCGTCACCCCGCGGGGAGGTTTTTTTCTCATCTGGAAATAACACTTTACAAGAGTCTCGGTACAAATTACAAGACAAGGAATTTAATTGGAAAAATGAGGTCATTCAGGACTGACCGACTCATCACCGATACTTGATTTTCCCGCGAAATTGCTTACTTTTCTGTGCTCTTCCATGGAAATGTATATTTCTCTCTCTTCAGTGGTTCTTTAGGCCATTCGGTTGTCTGGTTGATCATAAGCTGGCGCATGATTAAGAGCCATTTCGTCGTTATTAGGTTCTCCTGAATTTTGTTTTTTAAGTTTTATTAATCGATAGAATAAAAATAATGTGATGAGCAATGTGATAGCAAAGAGAATCCCAAAAACAATCGCTAGTGTTTGCCTGCAGGGACCTGGAAAATAAAAGACACAATATTCACGCTGGTGAGTAAGCCAGCAGGTAAGGATGATATGCAAGAAGTGAACACGCAAAAAATGGGGAAAAGCTAATGGCAAAACCATTTCCTACTGGTATTTCCCCTAGCTGTTGTAGACCCTGGTTGACAGAGAAACTAGTCGTGTCGTTGTTTATGAGTAGGTATCTTTAATATTAACACTGTAAACAAGTTTTTGGTTTAATCGATCAAATTCGAGGAGTTATGCAAACGCGGGACTTAGTCTAGGATTTACATAGAGTAAAATTATTTTTATCTTGGCTTCTCGTTCGTATATGAGAAGCTCATCTCTAGCTTTCGATTCACTCTGACGAGAGGTTAGCGCTCGAGACGACAGCTTTTGAATCTCTTAATGGCGGCCAATTACATTATCAACTTAGTTGAACTGGATAAGCCGTCAATGAAGCCGTATGTTACAGACTACAAGTGACTAGTCCCCCTGGCAACGCTTACCTGAGCTACTGCTGGAGCTGTAGACTTGAGTCGACTGAGGAACTGGACTTGTCGTGGTTTCTGTGGAGTTGTTTAAAACGAAGCTGACATGATATCATTTGTGCATTTCAGCAATATATACACGGCGGGGTTAGTAATTCATGGCAGATGTTGTCCAGATTAAACCATGCAAGACAGTTTATGTCAATGTCACTTCCGTCATCCATTCCGGCAAAATTATCACATGACTTCTACATTTCTTTACGACTGGAGCAGAGTATGAAGATCTAACGCTTAGCAATTTACACAGGAGACTGTATTTCTATACAATAAACAATTCTAAGAAATCCGAGGATACGAGGTTCAATATACTTTTAAGACAAGCATTCAAGTGAGTCTGAGTTCCATCTCATCGCACAGCGAAAAAGTTGTGCACGGTTTGCTTATCCAGAAGCGTTGAGTACATAAATGATTTGTGTATTACAGAGTACGAATGACTACTTCCCCTGGCCACGCTTACCTGAGCTACTGCTGAGGCTGTATACTTGAATCGACTGAGGAACTGGACTTGTCGTGGTTCCTGTGGAGTTATCTTACTTTTAAGACTTCTCATTATTTGAAAGAGCCATATCGCACCTTGTGGTTATTATCATTGTCACCTTGTTGACATTTACCATTTATTTTACTTCTTTTTTATTGCTCCAGGAAGAGTTATGTCCACTTCCAGCCGGAAAGAAATTGGGAGGATTATGAAATGACGGCCGGAATTTCAAAAAGTACAAAATCAGAAGTAAGGCATTTTATATTTCAGCATTACAGGCATTTTCTCACGTTTACATAGTTCATCTGAACACGAGGGAAATATTCGACGAGTTATGCAAACGTGGGACTTAGTCTAGGGTTTACGTAGGGTAAAAGCGAGCATCTCTTTACAGTAATCAATTCCAAGAAATCCGAGGAAACGAGGTTCAACGCTTTCGAGACAAACGTTCAAGTGAGTTTGAGTTCCAGCTCATCGGGCAGCGAAAAAGTTGTGCACAGTTTGCTTATCCAGAAGAGTTGCGTACATAGATGTTTGTGTGTTACAGAGTACGAATGACTACTACCCCTGCCAACGCTTACCTGGGCTGCTGCTTGGGCTGTAGACTTGAGTCGACGGAGGAACTGGACTTGTCGTGGTTCCTGTGGAGTTATCTAAAACATAAATGATAATATTTCTTATTTTGCATCTTTTTCTGTTATGAATTTAGCAGAAAATTTACAGATATACAGCAGGATTATTCATTTATAGCAGAAATTGTTTAGAATAAACCATGCTAGCAAGCCTTAATTTACACATAGATTTGAAAAGCAGATTTCCGCGGTAGAAATGCTCAGTTTCAAGGAACAAGAAAGACAGTGATCCTGAATACAGATGTTCTTTCCGTTAACTGTACAGAATGTAAATATTTTGTGTTTTTGAACTATATTTTGAAAGATCTGAAACACAGAACTGCGAAAGAATAACAACACCAAAGTCCCAAGCAATTTAATATGGTCGTTACTTGGGAAATCAGGTGATATTCAGGATTGGGCAGGTAGGATTAAAATGGCTTAGGGGGTCGTCTCCATTCTAAAGCCTGTTGTCAAGTCCAACGTCTGATGCATCCGCCGCATAAGAAGGTTTTATTTTAAAACATATACTTGCACATAGTTGTGCTCTGATATTGCAACAGTTGCATAACATAACAATGATCCTGTTAAGTTTTGTTCAGGATTGCTTGATATTTCATTGTTCTCTGACGAGAAACGCTAGCATATCCATTGCTTACCTGATACATTTAGATGGTGCACTTGTAAGCATTTCTCTGTTTCCGTATCATTATGTGTATATGAGAACAGGGCCACGACTTTGTACTTGCCACTATCATTGACAGCGACATTGAAAATTTCTATCATCAAAAGGCTTTGGTTCACCTTCTTAAATTCGGCCTTCCCCTGCAAACAAATCTCCTTTACTGGATGAGTACAAGCGCCATCTAATCCAGTTTTGTTTAGGAATGCAAATACGGACGAATGTGCGTATGCACGATAGCCACGAAAATGTTGGTCATCTTCATGATTTGATCTGTTGTAGTAAAGTTTTGCGTCCACTCCAGAATTGACTGTAACTGTAACTCTAGGATCATCACAGACATCTCCCGCAGTTGCCACCGGAGCTACAAAATTTGATTTAAAAAGGAACTGGTTTTAAAAGTAACCTTCAGAATTTCTCTTCGGGAATAATCTGATTTATACATGCAAACCCTGGGTAACTTTCCACATTGGTGTAAGTACTCTTACGTTCACACGCATAACGGAACTCTCATTTTGATCATAGTAGCTATAATTTTGATTCTACGAACATAAGGAACAAAGGAATGAGGAAGATTACTACGAACAATTTCCCATCTTCATTCACAAATAGATTCAAAAATTTTTTTCTTGTGTTTAATCATATTGATATCTCAATAGGTTTCTTTAGTTGTGTGTCTTGTTTCCGAAAAAAGCAGGAAGACCATGGACGGCTCAGACAAATATAAAATTGTCGTTGATATATGCATAATTTTCATTGAAAATCAGTTATTCCACAAAGAAGGACCTTACTTTTTCTCTTCAAAACTCTTTCTTAAATGCTCTCCAATCCTCTCAAGTGCACTATTTTTTAAGCAGGATGAGAAATCGCTTTGGCGTTAGACATAACATATAATAGGTATTGTCGAAGTAGCTGCTTTCGGTTTCCATCCCTAGTTAAAAATTTACGTTTGGAAGTGGCGAGTCTTTTCATCATCTTAAAAGCGGAGTATATCGCTAGTCATGTCTTGAACATTAACAGTCAACTTACCTTGAATCAGTGTTAAAATACAAACCAAGCCGCATAAGAGAAACTTCATGTTGACCGGCCACTTTGAGAGTAATCCCTCCGTAGAACTAGTGTCGAGAATGGCTCCGCATCCCATTGCCATGCGTTTCTTAAGGGTTTTTTTTTAGCCTTTTTTATCTAAATAACAGGGCTTTGTTCTTCTCTGGGAAAAAGGGAAACTGTTTCTATCAGAGCGTGAAAAGCGATTACCATGAAATTCCGTGAATGAGCTTTGTGTCCTCCATGAGCAGTCAAAATGTAATTAACGCTTAAGCATATCTTTGATGCTAACGGTCGATCTAGAAGGGAGCCGAAATGGGTACCAGACTTTTTTACAGGGTCTATTAGTCTCTTCAGTAAACATTTGAATTTAATAATGAAAGACCTCTCCATTTCTCACTGCTTTAGTTCTGAATTTATAACAAAATCTAAATAAAAAATCAGGTGATGTAAGTTTGAACAATTTTGAAATTCTAAAGTAAAATAACTTTAGATATCTTAACGAGTCGGGGTTAACTGAAATTCACTGCAAGGTAAACTTAGACTGCTCTCAAAGCCAGTGCTTCACGAAGCAACTAACTATATAGTCAGAATGGCTGCGGATACGAACATTCTCCCATGAATGAGAGCAAACTAATTGAGACCCTCTTGAGATTGAAGTGACATCATTCTGGCCGGGCATTGAGTGCCCTAATATTCCGGTTGTAAGGCGGCCTTCTTAGTCTCAAAATATTGAGCAAGGAATCTTAAAAAATTGTATGCTTTTCTGAGAAATTGACCTTTAACCTAATGGTGCATGACAATTTCGAGGAGACAGAGTTGTTTACGACGTTAGATCACGCAAAACCCACCCCTGAAAAGCTATTTATTTGAATAAAACTGCGCATATGGGTTTTCTGAGTCAGTTTCCACGAACTTCGATGAAATTTTGCAATCAAGCATTGAGCTGAAGCTTCTTGAAAGGCGTCTGCTCTCGCTAGCTATTTTAAAATAGACAATGAAAGCGTGATGTCGGCCGATTCGCCTCGTTCGTTATTGCAAACCAGTTTCAATTTCCATCCAGTTCTTTCGCTTCAAAACGATAAGACAAAGCTCTAATTAATGCCCTTAGGCCACTTGCTTCATGATAATTATCAAACTCGGCAATTCAACATTAGAAGTGGGCAGTACGCCATAATTTCTGAGAAAGATATTCCACCTTTTGGTTCGGTCTCTGTCGTATCGAAAGTTCTTCTACCTCACCGCAACAATATCCCAAAACCCAAATTAAGTACTTGAAAGCTGGTTTCACCAGTTGTACGTAAATCTATTTTGAAACTAGCTTTTGAGGTCAAGCACCCTAAGAAAATCATGAAAATGTGCATGCATCAAAACTTTTCAAACTCATTTCTGGTCGCTCGTCTCAAATGTATGCTCATTGGTGGCCATAAAGATATTTTTTCATCTATAAGCGTCATATAGCTAGTAATTATCTCGATAGAACGCTGGTACAAGAAAATCTTTGCATCTATATCGCTCAATTTACTAACAGAAAGTGAGTTTTTTTGACCACGGGCCCTACGCTAACATTTAAATTTTTGCTAGTGTGTGACGGTTATAAATAGCTGAAGTGTTCCGGCAAAACATTGTTAAAGGTGATACAAGGTCGTCACAGGTACTCAACGCCTAAAAGATCAACATCAGCAGCGTGGGAACATTTTAAATCTAATTTATGCGCCAAGATGCTACTTTTCATAAACATCCGTATAGCCTGGGTTAAGGGAGCGCCAAGCGCAATAACTTAGTTGCCTTCATTTTCTTTTTTGCCTTTCGTCAGCGACCGTTTCATACGATGTATTTTGAGCATCATAACAATATTTGACCGTCAAAATAAACGTTTTAACAGCTCTAGTGCTCACTCTATCAAGCATAATTTATCTGAGCGTAATCAAGTTCGTCTCGAACTTATCAGCCCCGGAAGTCGAGGACTCAGTGGTTGATACGGTTACGTTAGCTTATTCACGACAGCGTCTCTCCTGCTGAAGTGAGATCGGAAAATGCATCATTGGCTGCAATTCCTTTTGTTTGTCTTATTTGTCAGTTTTAAATCTTTGCCTAGATAAGTTAATGGAGGTGTTGCTATGGCAGCGAAAAGTTTGCATTCCTTCACGAGGAGTCAGGGAATTAGTTTGTTTATTCATTGCGACATCATTCACCAAAAGGGTTGCGATCTCAGTTTATGCACGTGTTATTTACAGCTTCGTTGAAAATCAGCTGTAATTGATAGGTATATTAAAGACAAAGGAACATATCTGGCATTTTAGGGTGACAGAATCTTTCGAGGAGAGTCCAAATATTATAGAAACTAACTTTCAACAGAAAACTTCGAGTTGTTATTTGAGATTGTAACTTAATAAGTCGAAATGACTACGCAGACCGTAAGATCACCCGAAAAACATTCATCAGAGAGAGGGGTAACAGGAGAATTTTAAAATATACCATCGCTCGAAAACTCTCAAAAGGCACTGAATAGAAAGACAGAAACGGGATACATTTATTATCAATTGTAAATTATTGGATTGATTTACATCATTGAGTAACTTCCCCTTACAACACACTTATGTTTTGAACGACTAACCGGATATTTAGAATTAGTAAACCTACCAGCTTGGGGGTTTTATATTTACCTCAAGTGCGCTTAGTTTGGTTCGATTGAAATTAAAATTCTGCTGCCGTGCCATACTAAACATTTAACTGATGCTGTCGTAGCAGTAACACAGTGTTTAGACCTTTTAATTTTCTTAGCATGAATCTCCCAGGATCAAACGCCGAATTCATTTTTGTTGCTTTTAATGAATAAGGGTGAGTCGTCCATAGCAAGTGTCTTGCAGCTGCAATTATTTTCGCCATGTTTAGGGCTTTTTTTATGATGGTGAAAGCAAAGGCCCACTGTGAGTGTTATCGCAACAAATAAGATGATTCCACATGCCACTGCCCATTTAGAGGAGGATTCTCCTGAAGATTTTCTTGGCAATGAAACGCCAACCTCTATAACAGAAATAATAAAAAAAAACAACAGAAACTCTGATGGTTAAACTGTAGTAGTTGGGAAAGCAGGTAATGTAAAGGGTAGATGGCTCAATGAGTATGAAGATCCGTTTGGAGGTTAAGTAATAGGAATGAAAGTATTCTTACGTGTTGGATGGTAATGAAATGTTTCGACTTGTAACACGTGAAATCATCAGCAGTCTGAACTCAGGCTACTGGTTCTGAGTTCAGACACCAACAGGCTTGCTGGTACAAAATTACTTTAACTTAGGATGGGCAAACCAACAGGATACGAACATTACCTTTCGACGTATCTGGAGACCCTGTATTTGTAGCTCTCACGGCTGTTGTGACACTTATCTGTTGTGGAGTAGTAGTAGTGGCTTTTGGTGGACCTGTGTCTAACAATTAATGCGAAATCAACTTTCATACCTGGTAGTGTTAAAACTTCGGAAATACAATCGGTTGAGTAAAGAACTTTAAAGGTGTTAAGAACAGTATGACAAAAAAGGATTTTCCCGCCCCTATTGCGCAGCGGAAGCCTCAATTCTCGGTAGATCAGGAACACAATTGTGTAGATCAATCTTCCAGTAACTAATGAAGTGTTTGAACAATTCACAAAGGTAACAGAGCTTGTGTAGAATGGCAGTTTTAATTGTATTTACGAAA